TGCCTTTGTGGTCAGAAAAGATGCTTGATAATGATTTAAATCTTCATGAACTTATTAAAGCACATTTTATGGCCTAATATGCTATTTATCCTGGAAAATGTTCCATGTGCACTTCACAAAAAATGTGGTATTAATCAGTTCTCAGATGCAGTATTCTTTAAGCGTCTATTAAGTTGATCTAGTCTAATGTGGCTTTTAAGGCCATTATTTCCTTATTAACTTTGTCTGAATGATCTATCTATTGATGTGAGTTATTAAAATTCCCTGTTGTTGTATTACTGTGAATTTCTCCTTTTATGTCCATTAATATTTGCTTTATATATTTAAGTGCTCCTATATTGAGTGCATATTTGTGAGTTATATCCTCTTCTTAGATTGATCCCTTTATAATTATGTAGTGTTCTTTGTCTTTTTTTTTTACATTCTTTTAAAGTGTATTTTGTCTGATACGAGTTTTATTCCCTAGCTTTCTTTTCATTTCTATTTGTATGAAATACCTTTTTCCATCCCTTCAATTTTAGTCTTGTACATCTCAACTTGAAGTGAGTTTCTTATAAGCAGTATATAAATGGGTCATATTTTTTGGTTCACAAGCTAGCACTCAATCCACTGAGCCACACCAGCCGGAGCTTAAATGGGTAATATTTTTTAATCCATTCAGTAACCCTACACCTTTTTGTTAGGGTCTTTAATCCCTAAAGTAATTACTGAGTAAAATAAAAAAATTTAAAGGGCCTGGCCAGGTATCTCAGTTTGTTAGTTGGCATACGCCAAGGTTGCGAGTTCAATCTCCTGTCAAGAAACTTAAAAGAATCAATCAATGAATGCATAAATAAGTGGAACAACAAATTGATTTCTCTCTTCCTCTAAAATCAATAGAAATAAAAATTAAAAAGGTAATCATTGAGTGTATACTTATTGCCATTTAGTTAATTGTTTTTTGGTGGTTTTTGTAGTTTGCCTCTGTTCCTTTCTTCTTAGTGTTTTGTTTAGGTTCCTCTCTGTTTATTCTTTATGTATCTTTTGTAGGTTTTTGGTTTGTGGTTACTGTGAGTTTTATGTATATGATTCTGTACCTATAGCAGTCTATTTTAAGCTGATAGGACTGCATTCTTACTACCTCCACACATTGTTTCTGATATATTTTAGGTCTTCGTTTTGTGTTTCTCCTAACTACTTACTATAATTTGGGTTGGGTTTGGTACTTTTGTCTTTTGTGGGAGCTTTTTAAATGTCTGATTTGGCCCTGGCTGGTGTGGCTCAGTTGATTGGAGTGTTGTCCTATAGACTCAAAGTTGCATGTTTGATTCCTGGTCAAGCCACATACACGGGTTGCAGGGTTCAATCCCTGGTCAGGAAGCATGTGAGAAGGCAAGCAATTAGTGTTTCTTTCTCTATCTCTCTTTCTCTCTCTCTTCTCCCACCGCCCCCCCCCCCCACCTTCCTCTGTCTAAAAGCAATGAAAATATGTCTTCGGGTGAGGAAAAAATAAATGTCTGATTCATTGTATTTATTAATTGGCTTTCCTTGTGAAATGTTTTCCTTTCTCATATTTTATTTCTGCTTACGACCTTACCTTTTCTGCTTAACATTTCTTGTGAAGCTGGTTTAATGGTGATAAACTCCCTTAGTTTTTGCTTGTCTGGGAAACTTTTAATATCTGTCCTTCAATTCTGAATGATAACCTTGCCAGATAAATTATTCTGAGTTGTAGGTTCCTTTCTTTCAGCACTTTAAAGATGTCCTGGCACTGACCTGTATAGTTGCTGCTGAGAAATCAGCTGATGGCCTTATGGTCTTTCCTTTGCATGTAACTAGTTGTTTTCCTTTGCTGCTTTGAAAATTACCTCTGGAACCTATCCCATTTTAATTACAGTGTGTCTTGGTATGTGTGTCTTTTGAGTTCATTTTTTTGAGAGGGGGAATCTGTGCTTCCTGGATGTGAGTTTCTGTTTCCTTTCTCTCTTCACCTTGCAAATGTTTGTGTGCTTGATGTTGCTCCAGAGATCCCTTAAACTGTCCTCATTTTTTTTCTTTTTGCTGTTCTGATTGAGTAATGTCCACTAGTCTATCTTCTAAGTTGCTGATCAGTTCTTCTGTATTAGCTAATCTGATGTTGATTCCTTCTAGTGTTTTTCATTTCAGTTACTGTATTCTGCAGCTTTGCTTGGTTCTTTATTATACTGTCACTTTGTTGAAGTTCTCCTTGAGTTCCTTTATTGCTCACTCAAGTTTTGTGAGCCTACTTATACCGTTTCTTTGAATTCTTTGTGAGGCAAATTACTCTGTACTTCTAGTATACTCCTTGTTTTGAAGTCTATAGCTGGCATTAATACAGTACTCTAGATATTACTACAGACTTCTTATGCCTGTGGTTCTGTGGTATACCTTTTTCCATCTTTTTCTTTCAATGGCAGATAATTGGGCTTTATTTTTTTAAATTCTTTCTCTGCTTTGTAATTGGAATGTTTAGTCTATTTTTGGGCTAGTTACATTTTAATGTAATTATTGATATGATTGAATTTACATTTAATATTGGCTTATTGTCTCTTTTTTCCATCTTTTTCTTTTTCCTTCATTCTTTTTCCCACCCTTTTAGGGGAGGGAGGTGCTAATTGAATATTCTGTAGAATTTCATTTTAATTGATCTGTTGTCTTTTTAGCTATATTTATTTGCACCTTTTTAATGGTTGCTCTAGGGGTTATAATATGCATTCTAAACTCTTCACAAACTATTTAGAATTAGTTTTATACCACATTATGTAAAATTTAAAAACTTTTCAACTGTAAAGTTCTGTATACCCCCTTGTTAAATTTGTATATGTTAAACCTCACAATATAATGTAATTTTTGGCTTGGAACAGTAATAATGTATTTTTTTAAAAAATTAAGATTGTATTGTCTTGGCCAGTATGGCTCAGTCAGTTGGAACATCATCCTGTAAACTAAAAGGTCACAGGTTTGATTCCTAGTCAGGGCACATTGATGTTTTCTCCTCTCTCTCCCCCTCCCTACTCCTCTAAAATCAATAAGCATGTTCTTGGGTGAGGATCTTATTTAAAAAAAAAAAAATAACATTTTATATTTACTCACTTGTTTGTATTTGTTAATTATGGGAGCATTGGTTCAACTATTCTGCTATTATCAGACAATGATTTTTCCTTAAGAACATGACCATTTCAATCATACACTTCAAAGTTATGCTGTATTTGAAATGCATAGTGCTGTACTAATATTACTCAGTAAGAAGGGCATTCTTTTCCTTTACTAGTCCATGCTTCCACTTTCCTCCCTTCAGTTGAAGCCATATAAACCACATTTTTATCTGCAGTTATGTACTTGGCCTCCTTTTCCTGTTAAAAATTGTGATGACATGAGCAGCTCCCATACTAGAAAGTGGGAATAGCTCCTTTCTCACCAAAGGGAAAGAAATTGCAGATCCACATGCCCAAATGATTAGACAGGTACAGCCTAGTTTTTATTTTTTTAAGAAAAATCTAAGCTCAAATTAATGTAGAAGCCATGTGTTTCTTGATTGCTAATCCTGAAATGCAAGGTGCCACTATGTTCTTGCCCCTCAAAGAAGAGAGAAAAATTGAAGTCTTGCTCTTTGTATTCTCTCAGTCCCTACCATGCTTCACTTAAAAAAACCTTTTTGTCCTTTTCTCCCCAAATGCTAAATTTTTTTCAGATTAGTGTAATGCATTTAATTCTGCCCTCTAAAAACTTCTCTTCCCTATACTTGGACATAACGGCAGTTCATTCTCCATTTCTTCAGTCTTCAAGCCCTTGGGTCTCTGTTGGTTGCCACTAGTTCACCAAAAGTACATCACTGCTTGATGGTTAATGCCTAAGAACAGGCACTCTGCATCCTGGCCTGGGTTTAAATTCTAATCCCGTCACTTACCTTGGAAAATTCATTCTGCTTCTCCCAGCCTTAGCTTTCTCCTTCACAGAACGAGGATAACGGCCCCTCTCTTTTCGAAGGGTTCAGTGAGAGTGGTCAGTCTCTTCCTGAACTTCTCTTTCTCCTTTCCTAACACCACTCCTGGTTTTTCTTTCATATCGTCTGCTCCTCTTGTCCCCTTTGTGGGCTCCTCTTCTCCCTTTCAGTACTGGGTCTCCATTTTTGGTCCCCCATCATCTTACTCCTAGCTTTCCTTGGGTGACTTCTTTCAAATCTATGGTTTCAGCTCTCACCCAAACCCAAATTACTCCTGAACCTTTATCTTCCAGCCAGATTTCACCCCTGAAATCTAGCTATTACAAGTATCTAATGGCTATGAGCATTTGGATGCCACAAAGATAAACATGTAAAACTAGACTCCACAGCACTTGACCCCAGTCCCCCAATGTTCCTTTTCTCTGATTTTTGTAGCTTTTCCCAGCAATGGGTATCCATCCTAGTCTGTTCTTATGTGCCAGTCCCAATAAGGCCCCACTTTGTGTTGATTTTACCTCCTAAATCTCTCTCACACCTCCTTCTTCCTCTCCATCTGTCTTATTTTACATCCCAGTTATTTCTCACCAAGAGCTTTTCAGTCACAGGCACACCAGACTCCACAGTGATACAGAAAGGTTTTCTCAGTTGCTCAGGGTACAAATCGCAGTTCTGCCACATATCAGCTACCTGGACAAGGGTGTTGCTTCTGTTACCTTACTATTTATTTATGATACAAGAACTAATGAGTTTTCCGCTCAGGTAGCTGCTACTTCAGTGTTAAGACAGACCCAATCATAATATAAAGAACTCCAAGCATGTAGCAATAGGTCAGTCTTCCATCTTCAAATTACGGTGATTAAAAGGCACTTTAAGTACAAAATGGGGACTGGCCTTGAAGCAAATCGCTGATGTTCCATCCATCAGGGTTGCAGCAGAGACTGTGCTGGCACCAAATAGGAATTTGGCATGAGGCTTCCCCAATTTCAAACTTGGTTTTGAAATAGGTAAGGAAGAACTATGACCATAGCTTCTTTTAAAAAGTTTTTATTGTGATCTCCTATTTTTACACTTGAATAACAACTTTCCCAAAGGAACGATGATACATAACCTTTCTTCTAAAAAGGACATATAGATAGTATTGTGATAGCATTTCATCAGTGGTATCATTGATTGATTGTCTTAAAATTCCTTGGTTAAGCCCTGACTGGTGTGGCTCGGTTGGGCTTCATCCAACAAAACAAAAGGTTGCCAGTTTGATTCCTGGTCCGGACACATGCTTGGGTTGTAGGTTCAGTCCTCGGTCAGGGCGTGTGCAGAAGGCAACTGATCAATGTTTCACATACCGATGTCTCTCTCATCTTTCTCCCTGCCTTCCCCTCTCTCTAAAATTAAAACAAAAACAAACAAAAAAAAAAACTTAAGAATTTCTTGGTTAAGAAGTTCTTCCTTTTATTTTTTAAATCCTTGGTGCCGATACCAGAGCAGCCCTTCTCTCCTACTTATTGGCATCCTGACATGATCTGGCTCTATACTCTAATCTCTCTCAAGAACAAGATACAGTGGCTTGTTCTAGATTCCCTTGGATAAGTGCAACTAGGATACCCAACAGGCTAGGCTTCCATTTACAGAGCTTTTATCATCATTTTTTAAAAATTAAGACTAGTAGAGCTAAATTTTAAATGTAAGATGTGTGTTTGTCTTGGGGACTGACCTGCCCCGCAGCCTGTGGATCACCTCGGCTAAGCCAAGGCTTCATCTTGACAAGGCTACTGAGCAAAAATCTGTTTCCAACTTTCCTCCCACAAAGGAAGCGGTTAGTCAGCCAGGAGGTAAAAGTCTTTTCAAAAGCAGTATCAAGGACACTGCCTGCTCCTGAAGCTACATACATAGAGCCATGAGCCTTGCTCTCAATTCTGAAAAGACCTGTCTGGAATGACTTTTCTTTATTTCTTGGGTGATAGGGCCAGTGGGGGGCTGTAAAGGCTTCAGGCTCCTCGTGATCATCACTACATACCCTGCATTCTGTGGTGCCCAAGAAACATGCTGGCCTCCACTCTGCTTGTGTCATGTGACCTTTCTTAATCTGGTACATCCTTGCCAGAGAAACCCCTACTCGGGGGTCATCCTACTCCCTTTTCCTCTTATTTGTGCTGGTGTTTCAGTTGGACATGCTTCTACAGTGGGCTCTGGTTCCAGAGGGAGGAGATGGTGGCTAGAGTTCTTGGTCCCACAATTCCAAAAAAAAAAATCATTATTTCACTGTTAAATTTCAAGATACCCCATATATTCTGGGACCAGTGGGACTGTGGTGTATCTTTGCAGCTGTGAAGTCAGGCCATAACTGATGAAATAAAGCAACAGTCGAGTTTGCCTTCAATGACCCACTAAAAAAAGTCTAATTACCTGCACCATGCCGACTCACAATACGGCAGTGAGGATTAAAAGCAAGACTCCATAACAGAAAATGCTGTGTTATATCTCTAAAACTTGAATATTGTGAAGTCCCAGTGTTTGAACCATCCAATTAAGCCAGTAACTGTTAGCTAATACACAACTTGTCTTACAGAATCAAGAGCCAATCTGGCCACCCTGTGGCTTTCCCACCCCCTACCCGCCAGTAGGCAGCATTACACTGGGCATGTTCCGAGTCTGAAAAATGCAGGCTTCACTCCAAGCAGTAACCTCTTGGCTGGCACACAGGGCTGTGCCCATGAGGTTTTCATGTTGCTGTGTGACCTCCTACCTGAGGGGGGCTTCTTGAATGCAGATGCTGAAGACATGGCCTGTCCCAGAGCTTGATTAGAGCCCAGAGGCTGCTGGAAACAGGCACCTTTGCTGGTTGAAGTGGTCCGGTGCTGTGACTTGGGCTCTTTAGCTGGTTTAGTCCAGACTAGTGCCTCCCCAACATGGAGAGCAGCTCCCAACTTCTGAGCCACCTCTACCATCTTGTGCCCACATGGGAAGAAAAAAAGCAGCAAGGTGACCAGCAGGGACAAGCCCACCCACCTCTTCCTAGACCTTCCCTCTGGGGCTTTTAGTTGAAATAGTGACTACTGGTACTGGCATTTGAGGGATGAAGTATTTATTGTAAGGAAATCTTTCTCAAACAGCAGAAAACACAGACTGCCCTTAGTAGGTGGCAAGGGAGTCCACTAGGATCTCAGACTCAGCAATTCAAGTGGGATGTGTTACTGAGCTCACCTCTACCTTTCCTACAGAAGTGGGAGGAAGCTGCAAAGAGACATAGCCCTTGACTCAGATGAGCCGTATTATCAATAACAGACTCAGTAAGCCTGACTTTCCCGTTAGGAAAGGTTTTCTCTGGCTGTTACTAAGTGAATAATTCATGCTGCCAGGAACACCAAAGCCAAAACAAGCATGAGCTTATAATAGGTTATATTTGGATTATTTGGGCTTAACTCAAAAGTTTCCTGACAGCTGGTTTATAACTCCTGGGAGCTAATAAAAGACACACCTCAGAGTCAAATTCCAGAGAGCTACTGTCCTTGAGTAGGTTGACTTTCTTCTCCATCTCCTGATACTGGGCCAGGGCTTCCCTCTTCTTGCCCTGGTTGTACAGCAGCACAGCGTAGTTGAGGTTCACTAAAGGATTACACCTGTGGCAACCGGACAGGAATTCTGTGGAGCTTAGGCTTTGGAACAAACGGTAATTTGGAAATCCTCATGACACAAGAACAAAACAAAACTGATTTTAAGTAGAGAATTCTCCATTGTGCAGCAAGGTAGAAACACCCACGTTGTGGGGAAAAAATCAAGGAATAAAACTGCTCAGCCAGCAAAGCGGGTATTTAATTACCTGCACCATGCTATCTCATGATAAGGCAATGAGAATTAAAGCAAGACTACATAACAGAAAGTACTGTTAATATATTTCTAAATGTGAATATTATCAAGTCCCAGCGTATTAACCATCCAATCAAGCCAGTAACTGTTACCTAATACACAGCTTGCCTTAAAGAAACAAGAGCCAATTGGACCACCCTCAGCAGAGACCACCAAGGTGGGTTGAAGAAGGGATCCCTACCCTGCGGCCTAGCTGATGCCAGTGGAATAAATCCCAAGAGAGTCAAAGATTAAACAGCCCAGAGTCGCATCTCGTGTTCAGCTAGGCCATGGGTGTGCATCTGCCAGCTCTGACTTTCTCTGGCTTCCTGACTACTGAACTTGAGAATGGAAGCACTTTCTCAGAAAGTGCCAGTGCCAGTACCTGCTGAGCTACTACTGCATGCTTAGTATCACATCCACACTTAGGCCAGCTGCACATAGGCCACGGAGAGCCGGCATCTGGCGCCACCTCGTGGCTTTGGAGACTCCAGCCCTCTCCAACACCATTTCCTACGAAGCAGCTTACCTATCCAGGCGGACTGCTTCTGTGTAGGCTCTCTTGGCATTCTCAGTATCTTCAAGGTTGGTCAGAGCCACTGCAACAAAGAAAGTGAGAACTGTGGCTGGAGAGCCCAGCTCAGAAAGCAAAAGGAGTATTTTAAGACCACAGTTCATTCAGCCCCCAAACTTAACTGCTCCTTTGCCCTTTCAGCTCCTGGTACCACCATCTACTCAGTCACTCAGTTGTCAAGTTCTCTGATTCCCATTTGTTGCAATTTCTTTTTCTGACATCGTACAAATTGTTTCAGGCTGTGGCAGTGTCCCCATCTGCCTCCATCCACCTGCCACAATGCTGCCAGCTTTCTCACTGATTTACAAACAAATCTGAACTATCCCACTTAAGAATCCTCACTGATCCTCCATCACCTATAACCATGATATTTAAACTAGCACAAGGACACTCTCACCTTCTAAATCAGTATTTCCTGGAAGCCTCACCTATAAACAGTAACAGAGCTGCTCTGGAAGCCCTGCACACTCCACCTCCCCACCAACATGCACGCACTTCTGGGAGACACTGAAGAGGAGATCTAGGAACAGAGCTGGAAAAACATGGCTTCAAGGATAAAGTCTAAAGTCCTTGTACCATACCTGTGGCCCTCTATCATGTCACCCCCTCAAACATTCCTGACCCATCTCCCCAGCTACCTTGTGTAACACTCCCGCCTGCGAATGGCACAGTATATCATGCAACTAAATTCCGGCTTATCCTTCAGAACGGTGTGAAGGCCCTCTCTACTCTGTGACATTAGAATTGCTGCTTGTGCCTTACAGTGTGGCAATTTGTTTACATTCCTATCCCTATTACAACTAGGCTAGCTTTGTATTCAGGCAACTCCCAAATAAACATCACTTAATTTGCTTTTTCAACCTTTCTCATATAAATAAGAACCCCACAATAATGACCAAAAAAAGCACCTGAAGACCATTGTCAATGAAAACATGCAAATTGCTTTTGGGCTTACATTTGGTAAATTCAGTATATGGAAAAAAACTATCCCCTAGAAAGAATATTCAGTCAGTACTTTTGTATTATAGTAGCTAACAATAAAACCAGTACTTAATATTCACTGGTTATTTAATCATGCAATCTCCTCATCAATCCTATAAGATATATCTCTTACACTTGATGAAATCTGGAACTCAGCTGGGATCTATCTATATCTATCTATATTAATATAGATAGATATAGGTAGATATGGAGACATATAGTCAAGACAAGGGGAAACATTTGGTAAAAGATAAACCAGTGACGATCTTGATTTAACCTGTCGGCCTCTGAGTGAAATTCCCCCAAGTTAGAAGCAACCAAGTGCTTTGTCATCATTTTCTGCACTGGTTTTCAAGCTCTAGCAATGTAACCCAGATGCCTATTGATGGGGGACTCAAGAGTCAGAAAATTTTAGTTTAAAGTAGTAGTTAATAAGCCTAATAGTCAATGCCTGTGAAAAGCTGCTGTTTCAGGAACTGCAGGTACAACCCACCCTGACTCCAGGGGACCACAAGCGATTCACCTTTGTGCCCCAGAAGAGGCCACCAGCAATCAAGGTGGTATCCGAGCCACTGTGTTCCAGGGAGAGACAGTCCACTGCCCAGGAGGCAGATAAAGTCACCGGTCAGCAGAGGAAAGGATGTTCGGGAAATTGCTGGACTGCAGCTTTTATCTGATTAACCTCTCTCCTGAGTCTCAAATCCCTTACCTACACTTTCGCCCCTAAAAAGGCTGGCTTGAAAGGAAAGGTAAGGCAGCCTGTTAGGGTACAAACCCTCCTCTTCTCGGATATCCGGCCATCTGAGTAAAGCGCACATAAAGATTTAATCCCTGTCTCTGCTTATTAGGTCTGGTAGGTGACAGGCAGCACAAACGCCAGCTCTTCTGGTTTCACTATGGGATCTGCAATGGAATGGCTTCTGTGGGACATATTTAGCCACTGGCCTCCAATGATTCTAATTCATTTTCCCCTTACTTCAGACTATGGAGAGGGTTCTCCATATATTTGTCTCTTACCAGCCAAGAGCATGTAGAGTTCCCCCATCTTTGGCTGGAAGTTGATTGCTGCACTGAGAAAATGGAAAGCTGATGCATATTGCTGCATGGTCAAGTGGACAAGGCCCAGGTTATAGAGAATCTTCCAATCAAAGGGTGCCAAGTAGTTGGCTCGTTTCAGGCAGCTGATAGCCTGCAGGAGAGAGGGGCACTCAATAAGGGCAGGGCAAGCTGGGCAGACCCAGTACGGACATGCATGGACACAAACAAGGAAGGTGAGGAGACACTCACTGCTACGTATTTCTTCTTGCCAAAGAAACACATTCCAATGTTATTCCAGAGTGGAGGACTTTCTGGAACAGCACAAGCTACAACTCTGTATTTGGTGAGGGCAACATCAAAGTCTCCATGGGTCTGCATCATGCTGCCTGCTGCCAAGATGGCCTGAAAACGCAGGACATGGAAAGCTGGTAATTCAGTCATTCCCAAATGGCTATAGCAGTGAAGGAGCCTTCCTGGGTGTAGATACTCTGTATAGCATGACTGAAAAAACTTCCAGGGACATAATGCCGTATTTTGCCATGTATACTGCTCACTTTTTTGGCCTAAATTTTTGAGGGAAAAATAAGCATGTGTATTGTAAGTGGGTATAATGATTACATACCATCGTTATTATAGTCCCATGTATAATGCACACAAAAACATAGGTGCATGTTATACATGGCAAAATACAGTTTAATGTATTCAAACTATTGGGACAAATGATCATGGGAAATGTCCCTGCACCCCACACTGTGGCACTTTTTGACACAGTACAGAGAAAAAAAGATAAAATGTCACTGACTTTACCCAGCTCATTCGTTTCCTACTTCTCACCAGGGAAGTCAGTATTTCTGAGCCTTGGAGCCCTTTAAGTAAATACTGCCTTTAATCTGTTCCATGCAGCCCCTACTTGGTACACCGAGTGCTGCTCCAGACAATTCAAATACTCCTTTCTTTGCCACTTAAGGTATAGCTCTTCTGCCACAGGACAGAGGGTGACTCAGCTGTAGGCTCCATCAGTCCAGGTGTCAGGTGGGGACTGACGGAGCCAGGCGAGAATGAATCTGAGACAGGGTTGCGGCTGTGTCCTTCACAGCCTGTTTTGCTGCATCTCCCTCAGTGACATTCATCCAGTTGATGATCTTCTCATCCCTAAAGACACATCTGGACAAGAGTTCTAATTGCAAATTCATTAAGACTCTGAAAGTCATTTCACCAGAAGTTATTTTTGACAATAGTTGTGGAAGCTGTGCTAATTTCTTAAATACGGTACATAAAACTTTACCAGCACTACAATGTCACTTTCTGAGTAAGTTACAGGTCTGTCATAACAAATGCGCTTTTTTAAAAAAGATTTTTTTTTTTTTTTTTTTTTTTTTTTAGAGCAAGGGAAAAGGAGAGAAAAAGAGAGGGAGGGAAATATAGATCGGTTGCCCTGCACATGCCCCCTGTTGGCACATCCCACAACCCAGGCATGTACCCTGACTGGGAATTGAACTGGCAACCCTTTGGTTCACAGGCCAGCACTCAGTCCACTGAGCCACACCAGGCAGGGCACAAATGTGCTCTTTAAAAAAAAAATTTTTTTAATTTATTGATTTGAGAGAGAGAATGGGGGGAGAGTGAGAGAGAAGGGAGAGAAAGAGAGAGACATCATCTGTTGCTCCACTTATTTATGCATTCATTGCTTGCTTCCTGTATGTGCCCTGACCAGGGATCGAACCTGCAACCTTGGTTTATTTGGGACAATGCTCCAACCTACTGGGCACAAATGTGCTCTTCTGAAAAATAAGAAGCAGAGCACCAACACTTCACAATATTTCCTAATAAGAAGAGCCACTTTTATTTACAACTTTTCTAAGAAAAAGGTAATTTCTCAAGTATTTAAAATGCTTTCTCAGGCCAGATCATCTCTAGGAGCAGTGGGACCATCTTCAGTGAAGGTTCTGGGGTTTGAGAGCCTGCAGTACCTTGTAGTTGGTAGGGTCATAAGTCAGTGCATTTCCAAGGTGTTCAAATGCCTTCTGGTAAATGCCAAGCTTGGAGAAAAAGCAAAGCAGAGAATTATATCAGTGGGGAAATGAGAGTTAGGGAATCTGGCCAAACACACCCTGAAGCACCCTGACTTTTCTGAGTTCTCTTGATGAAAAGAGAGCTATAGACACCAGATAGAAAAAGAAAACTAAAAATCCCCACATTTGTCCCCTGATAAGATCAAAGTATCTATCTGCCAGGAACCATCTCTGCCACACTAGTGCTGCTCTGCACTATTGTCTCTTGGCAGGAAATGGTCTGATTAACTTCATCTCCCCTGGGGCCAACCTCGAAGGCAAAGACAAAAACAAAGGCCAGGAAGGCCCAGGGTTAAACTCCTAATTCCTTTTAAAGAACCATGAAACAGACAGAAAGGCTACCATAGGAGCAGAGGGGAGGCAAGATCAGCTGAGCAGGTAACTAGGGGAGTGGATGAGGAAATGGGATGGGTAGAAGCCCCTCCGGGACACCTAGGCCCCAGTTCTCAGGCTGATCAGGAGAACTGATCTAGCTGCAAGAACTTCATTCACACTCCGGACTGTGGAGTGGAGAGGAGACTGATTTCTTATTTTAGACAATGCTTTTGCCTTCTCTTTCCCATAGGACCTGGCTGGGAAGAAGGAACAGAAATGGCCTTAGCCCCAAAGCCCTGATAGTGCTAACTTGTATCACAGTTTCTTTCCCCCTAACAAAATGACAGCCTCCAGGACCAGACAGTTATTTCTCACATATGCTCTTTCCTTTAAAAAGTATAATTGCAGTTTGGATTTGAATGCAGTAAATTAATTCCTTTAACATATAAGGTTCATGTGCTTCGTATGAGCTTTAGTGAAATATGTTAAATCAAAATGCAAGGAAACTACAATACACATAAATCCCAAAGCATTTCTAACAACGGTGCATAAAAATGTAAAGAGTTTTCCTTACCTGTAAGTAGAGTAATCCTAAAGTTGTAAGAAGTTCTGTATTTTCTGGTGAGAACCTGCAACACAAAGATCAACCCAGAGACACTCAGAGGGAAACAGATTATGAATGAGGCACTGAGGCACATGCACAGTAACATGCCCTTGTGTGACACCTGAGAGACTAAGGCACACCCCACTCCCCTTGGAAATCCCCCAAGGTGCCTGGGGAGCTGCCTTCAATGGTACATCATCTCAACCCTGGCTACAGAGAGGATTGCTCAATAGGAAAGAAATGGGACATCGAATCCAGACTCTTTTTCAGGACCTTTTCTTAGGGTCAAAATCCTAAGAGAGAACCTATGGAATATTTTGTGTGACTGTTTTCATTATACTGATGGAATTAAAGAATAATGCTTTATAAACTAAGTTAGTCTGGAGCACACATAGTTTTAGCCAATTCCCTTCAGGGGGGATTTCTTTTCCTTTTCCTGTTTTCACTCTACTCACAATGGTAGTCTGCATAATTTTTTTTTTGTAATTTAGGATCCTAAGGGCCCTAATGCTCTGCTGTCCACATTAATCAAAAGGCCATGCTAAATAGCCAAATTAAACAAAAGAAGGAGGATATACCAGCTCTAGGAAAGAATTAGCCACTGGATTTGGGGAGTAAACATTGATATTTATCCCTCACTGATAATTTATCTTTGTTACAAAACCAAAGCAACACTGAGTTGAGCTCATCTCACTCTAGGATCATCAGTTTCAACAATAAAAATGCCAAAAGCAAGGAACAATGTCTCATGCTTCTAAGGAACGAGGTAGGACTCTGCTTCCCCATGGGGAGACCGGATCAGAAGGGCCAAAGCCCCTGCCGTGGAGGCCTGAGCTGGCCAAACAGAGCTTACTCAGTTTGACTGAGTATCTGCCCTTTGCTCTGTGCTGTAATAAATACCCATTTTGATCGCCTCCTTCCCCCAAACTAAGTCACTTCCATGATTCTGGTGGTGCCCACCCCACCTCCCCCACCAAAACATAGCTGCTGTCTCTAAGCTGTGGGTTTCCACATTCTCAGTGAGACTCCAGAAGCTCAGCTGTTCCCTTTTTCGCCTTGGAAATTTTTGTGACTTACGTCCTCAACCAGCCACGGGAAAAATGTCACCCTTCAGATTTATGTGAGCTAGTCTTCTAGAAGGCAGGGGTCAGAGGTTAGGGCCCCTTCCTACTTATCCACATAAACTTATCCTCTTGGTGACAAAAGTCTCTCTTGTAAGTTAACAAAATAAAGGATTTTTATACCTTTTTAGACACAAAATATGAAGAAAATTCAGGAAGCTGTGTTGTGACTGATATAACCAGGAAAATTACTACATTACAATTATGGTAGAAAACAAAGGCAATTAAAAAATTAATTTAACAAATTAAGTTTAGTTCATAGCCTAATTACCAGAAACTTGGTGACCAGGCATTCTGTTATAAACAAGACACTAAAGCACTTTGCTACAGCTTAAAACAAGGCAAGACCCTATACAGAAAAGGCAAGATAGCGTGTGTTTCCAGAGAGGAAACACGGAATGCCATCCTGGAAAGCCAGTCAGTTCCATCATCAATAGGGGTTTGGCCTTCTCTAATGCTATTTTAAGAAAACAAGATATTGGTCTCACGCTAATAGTACCCTCCTCCCAAGCACGGGTGCCCACTTCCCTGGCAGCTGGCTGTGGTCACCTCACTAATTTCCAACCAAGGGATGAGAGCAGGAATGCTGTGTGCAACTTCTGGGCCATTTGAAACACTGTGAGCTTTTTATTCAGTACTTAGCTTCCTGTACCACCTTCCCCCACCACAACCTGGAGCATGCTACAGTAAGTCAGCTTCAATCCTGCAGGTGAAGACAACAACCTAAGGAATGGTGGGTAGGTCAATAAGAAGGGAACCTGGATCCCTGGTTGACCTTGTAGAACAGAGCTGCCCAGCTAGGCTAAAGCAGCCATATTAATAAGTGAAAAAGAAATGTAAGTCTTCTTATTTAAGCCATTGGGAGCTCTTTACCTTACCTTAACATTTACTCTAAGTCATATGACTAGTTATCACACATATTCTGTCTTGGGCTTGGGAGTTCATATATCTGCTCCCATTTTTTTAAAAGTTTTTCCTTGCTCTAAAGGAATCAGACACACTTACTCCACAGCTTTCTTGTAGATTTCGATGGCTTTGTCCAAGTTCCCCTCCAGCAAGTGAACCTTCCCCAGCATTATGTAAGTCAGATCATGCCTGTTAAGATGTAGGGCATGGTGCAACTGGTCTTCTGCCTAACAAGATTGATGAAATAAAGACAACCAAATCACTACCACGAAAGGCGAGTGGCTTTGTATGGCTAAGGTAAAAACAGAGCTCCGGCTATGCTAATGTAGGAACATCACATTCAGCACACAGCCCTCACGACCCCAAAACACCACCACATACCAAAACTGTACTTGCTCACAGGACAGCTGGGAACATGGAGTATCTGCCTCTGGCGCCACTTGGAAGAGTTTACACAAGATGATTAACTTTTCTGAGTGTTTTCTGCTTCTTGATCATCTTACCCATGACTCGTACGTCACAAGTTAAAAGGGACATCATAGTCCACTGTACAGTGCTGCCCAGCTGCACCACCTTTCCCAGAGTGGACCTCATTTTCCTCACTAATATTTTGATAAATGAATGGATTGTTCTCATTTATTCATTCAGCAGTATTCACTGAGTGCCTGTTGTTTTAGGTGCTAGCTATACTAGAGCTAACAAAATGGACTCCTTGCTCTGAAAGAGCTTATATCCTTCTAGCAAACAGTCAAAAGGGCGTTTTTCAGTTGTTCACTGATTCAGTAAGTACTTACATAAATGTCAAGTATTGTGTTTGCTCTGTTAGCTTTACAGTAAAATCTAAATATAATCTCCTTCCCTTTACAGGTCTGACCAAAGACCAATTCTGCCTCTTCCTTAGCTCAGAGTAATCATGTTAACAGAAATGTACTTGCTTGGAATATCCTCTGAAGAGAACAATCTCCTAACCAAGTATATAACACTGTAAGATCTGCCCAGAAAACCTAAGAGACACACTAAGTATATATTTTTTAAAAATATAATATATATATGTATTAGTTACTTATATTTTTCACAAGAGTAAAAGTCACTCTCATGCCTCAACTGCTTATGTACAGATATTTTTTTTCACACCCCTGAGGGACAGATTAAGCACTGTCAAATGGATATTAACAAACTTGGATTCTCAGTCCTGTTGGCACTGGAAAAAAGAGAATGAAACTTCACAATCACTAACTGGAAGCTTCATGAAGGGCATTCTGTGCAACTCCACTATCATGAACTTTCAGAGCTCTCAATAAGTTAGTCTTTTCCTCAGTTAAGATACATACTTTTTTTCTCATATCTGAGTACCAAGGTAAGCTCAAATGTTTTATCTGATATACAGCCTTAGAGCATACAGCTTAATCACAATGAAATATAAATTCTTACATGGAAAATAACCTTAAAAACGGAAACTCTTAGAAATCAGATCCATCTATAAATTAAAATTCATCTCCATTGACCTTAAAAACTACAACCAGTTGCTGTCAGAGCATAAGAGAGCTCACATGGTCATTATTATACTTTTTGATATCTAAGTTTTATTGAACATTTATTTCTATACTATAAAATTAAACGGGGGGTAGAGAAAAAGAAGAAAAAACAATTAGAATACCATTCCCTCATAGTTCTAGAATGTTTCATTTTCTTGTTAAAAGTGGGAAAGGAAAGGTAGATAGAAGCCCTGACTGGTGTGGCTCAGTGGACTGAACGCCGGCCTACAAACTACAGGGTCGCCAGTTTGAGTCCCAGTCGGGGTGCACACGTGGGTTGTGGGCCAGGTCCCTGGTGGGAGGGCGTGTGAGAGGCAATCAGTTGATGTACCTCTCACACATCAATGTTTCTCTCCCTTTCTTTCTCCTTCCCTTTCCCTCTCTAAAAATAAAATCTTTTTTTTAAAAAAGGTAGACAATGACAAATGAGAAAAAAGGAGATAAATGTATGTGGCACTTTCAATTTTCACTTCCCAAAGTCTCTGCAAACACTAGGAATAACACACAGTGAGCAATGGCACCTTTGTAACAAATGTGCCCTCAGAGAAGTTACCACGCAACTGCTAAACTGACCCCAACATTTCTATAAATTACCTTGTTCAACTCTTTCAGATAAATGTAGCAAACTCCTAGATTATGACAGATCTCCTACACAAAAAAGAAAACAGCTTAAGTGTAAATTCCAGAGTATTAGAGTGAAACAACAAATACCTAGAGATTGTTATTGTTTAGCAAAGTTTAAACTTGAAAATATATACTACAGTTAGTTTTTTACTATATTTCATACTCGAAATATATTTAATTCTAAAACATGGGTTCCTTAATATTAAAAAACCCCACAGATTATAAGAGATAAAAGCAGAATAGGACGTTTTGAATCTGTGTGGTACCAACCCATCCCCATACATTTTTTCTCTAAGAGATGCCCACTGCCCACACACCCTTTGTGCCCTCATCTCAGGAGAGACTACCCACAGCCCCTGCCTCACCATAAAGAGATATGTGTACATATATGTCTATTGGATTCCTTTTCCTAGGAATCTAAGAATTCACTAGGCGATGTGGACTTGGGGACTGACAGCACCATCTGGAGGGCACTGTGATGGAACATTTGTATGTGGAGTGAGTCTGCAGATGCACACAGCAGAGGTCGGCAAACTAACGACCACAGACCAAATCTGTCTCTGACTTTTTTGTAAAGTTTTGTTGGTGTTGTCTATGGCTCTGTCACACTAGAACCTCAGAGTTCAGTAGTTGCAACAAAGACTATATGAAGCCACAAAACCTAAAATATTGACTAGCTGGCCCTTTACAAAAAATGTTTGCCAACTGCTGACCTACAAAAAGAAAAAATTAAACAAATTCAGAGTAGCTATCTTGGTTGCTGACAGCTTTCCATTCTAGTTCACTCCAAGACCAACCTGTATTTCTTGACCTTGACTTCTACAGAATCTCTTGAATTCCCTTCATTAAATTTCCCTAAATTTAGCCCTGATCAGTGTGGCTCAGTTGGTTGGGCATCGTTCCATAAAGCAAAAGGTCACCAGTTTGATTCCTGGTCAGAGTACATGCCTAGGTTGTAGGTTTGTCCCTGATTGGGGCATGTATGAGAGGCAACTGATCAATGTTTCTCTCCCTCTCTTTCTCCCTCTTCCCCTCTAAAAATTAAAAAAAAATTAAAAATATTTTTTAAAAAACCTCCCTCAATATTAGCGAAAGGAATACTTTTAGAACGAAAGTGGGGTTATGAACAGAAATCAGACTAATAACAAACTGCTCAGCATCAACACTCACTGCCAGAAAACCATGTGGCGGTGTCTGCTAAGTTAAACAGAAATGTCGCTTTTGATCTTATACCTAGCCAAATCACCAATCTGGTGTGAAAATAAAGACATTTTGGGGCATGTAAGAATTCAGTAATAACAACAAAAGACAGCCATATGACAAATGGAACCATTAGCATCTTACTAATAACAAAGAATTTGGTTTCCTACTTACCCAGTCTTTCTGGTTAAGTTTAGCTGCTTCATTATATACTTCAGTGGCAGCTTTATGTTTTCCCAAAAGAAATCTGTGGAAGAAATACATTTTCCATAATAATAATTATTATTATTTTTTAAATCCTCTCCCAGGGATATGTTTTTATGGATTTTAGAAAGAGACGAAGATAGAGAAAGAGAGAAACATTGATGTGAAAGAGGAACATCGATTGGCTGCCTCCTGTACACGCCCCTACCAGGGATCAAACCCACAACTTAGGTGTGTGCCCTGACCGAGAATTGAACCCACAAACTTTTGGTATATAGGATGATGCTCCAACCAACTGAACCACTTGACCAGGGCTACATTTTCCATAATTACTAACTCAAAGCTTTTCTAACCTTAACCCCACTAGTCCTGCATTTGGCTCACAGTCCATCCAGCACAGAGTCTGGAAACCTCTTTCCTATGAACTTGTTGTGCTGGTTTGGCCAGTGTATAGCAAGGGCAGAAGTTGGTAGGGACTACACTGGTAGCTGTTCTGGGGCATTGGCCCCATCCTACACCAATGTTAGGGAGTCTTCTATAACTTACTTTCCACAGTGTACTACAAATGTAGACAAAAAAAGAAAAAAGCTAAATAATATAGCATGTTAAGCAAGGGTTGCCATCATTTATCACCATCGTCTATGAGGGACATGACCTACCCTCCCCAGCCTAAGCCTCTATCCCTGATATTAGATAATGGTTCTGGCAAAACAGGAAAAACAGGCTCTATGCAAAGATAGTGCAGGTATAAATCACAATGTATGTAAGAAAATAATGACGAGAATCCCACAGAACCCTTTGTTACCGGAACACTTTACTGGTGGAGTAAAGCTATTAGTGTACCTAGCAGCTTAGAAAGACCTTGGAGGTCGCTTGCATTCAGGAAACTTCGGGGCATCCACTCAACAAACACTAAAAACCTACTGTGTGTCAAGAGAATATTATGCTAAGTGGTGGATGAGAAAATTTCCATGGGTTGGCGATGATTAGGGAACTGGAGGCACAAAATGTCACGATTTATATGATAGCCAGTATCAGTGTTCCCCTGTCAAACAAGAATAATACAGTGTTTGAAATACCCAGTTTCTTTATATGAGTTCTTTTGTCCAATTTTAAAGTTAATCTACACTCTTCAACTGAACCTCACGATACCTGTTAAAGATCTCGTCCTCTATGTATCAGGCTGATCAGGCAGCCAAAAGCAGCCTGCAAAACGCTCATTCCATACTGTTTTCTGTGAGTGCCCCAGGGCCCACAGGCTGCCACTACTCACAGAGATCTGGCCACCTGCTTGAGGTTATCAGCACACTGAGGGTTAAGAACAGCACACATCTGAAAGAGTTCTAGGGAGTCTTGGATTTTTCCTTCCAGGCGAAGTATCAGTGCTGCCAAGAAACAAACCAAAGAAAAGAAAATCATGTTTTGGGAAGAATGGAACCTGGTATCAGAAAAATTAAAGAAGTGGAGGTGGGAAATCATAACAAAGAAATTCTTTGGATAGTTGTGTCTTTAATACAACCAGATATGACTTCAGATGGGCTGAAACAAGTAGGGAAGTTATTGACATACTAAAACCTTTTTCTCTGTCTTTTTGGAGACCTGCATGTTTTATTCTAAGAAATACCTTTACTTTGACTCAGTTAACCAAGGAGCTTTCAGTATGATGAGTTCTTCACTTTCCCTTTTCACTAAGGGAATAAATATGGTCAAACTTAAAAGAGCGGGGAGGAGACATTTAAATATTTGACCATAAGATTATTTTTCAGAGACTGAAGGGGGAGGAGGAATATATCCCCTTCAAGTTTGTTACTTCGGCAAATCTTTCAGCGACGGCTAAAAGGTGTGCATTGGCTTTTCTTTCCTAGTACTGATAGGGTTTATAAGCTGACCAACTACACAGGCACTGTTAGGCTTGTCCGGCAACAGTTTTTCATAGTACTTTAGTGACCCATTGCATGTGTCCCCCTTCTCAGAAGCAAGACAGCCAGTAGGAACCTCCTTGGAGGTCCTATCAGCCTCTTCATGGCCTTTCTTCATCTCTTGAATCTCAATTTTCCTTCTCTCCTTTTTTCTTGTTGAATGATGCCTATTATCCTTAATATAAGGAGTCTGGTTACCATTTCCGCCTTTGACTCAACAATGCTTGAATCTACTAGAACTTTATTAAGATCATTTAAACTTTTCTGATAATTCTTGAGTCCTTTATGAGCAAGAGCAAGCATGTCTACAGCAGGCTTTCACATTCCTGTCATCTGAAGTATCTGATCACTATCCTGCTTTGCCTCTTTAAAGTGGCACAGTTTCAAGCAACAGAGATCTCTGATTGTGTAAATGGCACATTCCTTATTGTGACTCTTTAAGCATTTATGTTACTTACCAAGAACATAGTTATAGTTTTGGTCCTTTACACACTGATTTCCCTTTTAAGTAAACGCTTTAAACATTTTGTCATTTGTGATGCCCCAGTTGATGATGGCTGCAAGAGTCTCCCACTTGGTAAGGGGGCATCTCTGGCACTGGTCACCAAGCTCACAGTTGCACAGAAGTGGGCACAGAAGGAATGGGTGACAGCTCTTCCCACCAGCTCAGTCTCTCCGGACCCATTAAAACTCCTGTTCTCCTGTTAATACTGTCATTTGCTATCTGGATTCTGTAGTCTGTTTGCAAAATATTGTTTTATAATCCACATAAGCTTTCTGATACTGCTCTAAAGTTTCATAGGCCATTGCTCCTTGAAGAAGAGGTTTGATTGTGAATGATGTTCCAGAGCCCTGTTACAATCTTAAGTGCAGTCACTGCAGTTTCCTTCCTTTAGATCACGTGCAGTTCAATGTGAATATAAGATCCTTAGATCTTCACTTCCACTTTCTGCAGCCTCCAGCTTACACCTTTGCAACCTGCCTGGTTTTTAACAGCCAAGAGGCCGCGAGTGTGGGAGGAAGGCAGGGAGTGGCAGCAAAAGGACAGCATGTGGCCCTCTCCAGCTGCTTGCCACCCTCACCTTTGCCCATTAGCTTCCGATGTCCCTCCTGTCAGCTGGGAGACCTCAGTGGGAAGTGGATGCAGGCAGCCGGAATCAAGAGTTTGCATCACCAGGAGAAATTACCTTGGGGGCTGTGGGGTGCCCAGTGTGGAGATGCAGCCAGGCTAAAACCTTTTTAAATAAGGTGTCTCTGCTTTTCCTTCATTTCTAGGCTGCTTCCCTTCATCCTGATTCATCTTACTAAAAATCCTCAAGCCTTTCCTCATCTCTTTTAGCCTGAATACAAGGAACCCTTTCAAAAGCCTCTTCTGGGCCTGAAACTGCTGCATGATGCAGGGACCTTAACATCCATTCTGAAAAACACCAACGAGAAACTAGAAATCGGGTGAAGGATGGTAACAATTTTTTTGTTTTATTTTTTTAGAGAGTGGAGGGGAAGGAGGGAGAGAAACATCAATATGTGGTTGCCTCTCATGCACCCCCTTACTGGGGACCTGGACCACAACCCAGGCATGTGCCCTGACTGGGACTTGAACCAGCAACGCTTTGGTTCGCAGGCCAGCACTCAATCCACCAAGCCATACCAGCCACAGAGCAAATTTTTTTTTTTTAAGCAAACCAGTCATTTCTGAGGTCAAATCTAGCATAAAAATTATGTTATAATTTCAAAAACAATACTGAAAAAGACCTTCGTGGCACATGTACTTGAATGTAAGCATTTCATAAGTTGTTTGATCTTTTTCCAGAAGCAAGTCAAAGTGTGCATGCCTCTAGCAAGAAGAGAAGAAATATATGCAATATGTCTTACCTTGGACATAGATAGCATATTCACATAACCCCTGGGTCTCCCGTAGCTGTTCTTTGATAACAGTCTGAAAAAGGAATAAAAATACTTCTGAGGAATAGTTAAGTGTCTTCAGGAGTTTTTAAGAAAAGGCAGATATGGGCAAGGAAAAGATGTAAGATTCCATGTTACTAATTACTAATAAACTAGTTCATTCCTTTTTTTTTTTTTTTTAAGTCTCAAATCTCTTGTTATGATCACTTATTCTAGAACAGGGTTGGCAAATGACAGCCCACAGGCCAAATCTAAACTGCAGAAACTACTTTTGTATAGCTCTCCAGCTAGAGGTGACTTTCATAGTTTTAAAGGGTTATGGAAAAATAAGCCCTGGCCATATGGCTCAGTCAGTTGGGGCATCATTCTGTGCACCAAAAGGTTGAGGGTTCAATCCCTGGTCAGAACACAAACCTAGGTTGTGGGTTTGATCCCCAGTTAGGGCACATGTGGGAAGCAACCAATTGATGTTTCTCTCTCACATCAGTGTTTCTTCCTCTCTCTCCTTTCTTCTCTCTTTAACACCAATAAAGTATATCCTCAGGTGAGGGTGTAAAAAATAAACAAAAGAATAATAAGCCTAAAATATTTACCATCTGGCCCCTTGCAGGAAAAGTTTGCCAACCCCTATCTAGAATCTATCTAGTTAAGCTAAGGAAAAGATCTCCATTGTAGATGCTAGGGGCTCTCTGATGAGCAAAACACAGGCTCTACTTTTCTACTATGATGGGTTAAGCTGCAGCTGCTATGGGAACTCAGAGTGCAAGCACCTGATTCTAACTTGGAGTATCAGGTACAGCTTTCCAGAGTCACCAGTTTCAAATCCTGTGTCGGCAGGGGGTAGGAGAGAAAGGCTTCAAATGCCATGCTAACAGGCTGAGAGCAATGGGAAAACATGGATAAGTTTTAAGCAGTTAGTAACCCAATTCTATTTGTTTTATTAAATAAAAAACATTTTTGGACGGGGGCAAGATTAGAGGCAAGGCTGATATAAGAACTCGTGATAATTTAAATTAAAATAAAGGGGATTAACTAAGGCACGAAGAATGGGAGAAAGCAGGCAATTTCAAGAGACAGTAAGAGAAGGATCTCCAGAATTTGAAGATGATCTGTATTATATTAGGGAAAGTGGGTCAGGGGGTTCTGACATAGACACCTGGGCAGATGATCATACCTATCCTTGGGACAGGGAACAGGAGAAGGAATAGGTTTGGAAGGAAGCAAATAAATTCAGCAACAGAAAAGATGAATTTGAAATGCCTGTGAAGTAGTCACTAGGTATTAGATTAGTCTGGAGATCAGGGGACAACGTGTGGAATGAGCAGAGAAAAGGGTCAAGGACAGGTCCTAGGAAGAGCCCCAATTCCTAAGAAATAAGCAGAGAAAGAGAAGCCAAAAAAAGCAAACAGAGAGAGTGGTCAAATAAGAAAAAGGGAAACAAAGAGGGGATATCATAAAAAGAAAGAAACCTTTCAAGATTCAGACTGGTACTAAACATTGCTAATTCTGTGCATTGCTATAGGTATAAATGCCACAGGTATAAATTAAAAACCACAACCGCAGAAACATTACAAATCTCTGAATACCAAGGATGTATTTTGCATGTTAATACTACTGTCTGCCAGCAAATATGTAACATAGAGTATGTTATATAAAGATACAGTTTAGAGAAAAGGGAATACAGATGGTTTTTAAATATATAAATAATTACCAACCTTACTGGAACAAGAGAATTGTAAAATAAAACTATATAAAATACCACTTTTCACTTACCTAGAGATCAAAAAGTGAGATACGATGCTGTGTTGAAACCTGCCCTCCACCATGAAATTAACAAGTCCCCGAGAGTGACTGCCCCTTCAGCCTGGTCTTTAAATGAGGAGACACGTGGAACATACCTAATCCTGACCCACAACTTGTACTCAAACCCAGCTAACCCACAGCCAATATGAAGGCCTATGAGCAATAAATAAATGTCTATTTTTGGTGGCCACTGAAATTTTGAGGTTGGTTGTTAAGCATTATCATCACAGAAAAGCTAACAAATAACACCAAGTGTGGGGAAACAATAATTCATACATCTCTAGTGGGATTGACGCTGCGACAAACTGTGACAGACACTGTCAGTTGCCTAACCAAAGTCTGCCTCTCATCTCCCCTATCGCTGCAAACTCTCACCTTGCATGCTTCATAATCCTGCCGGATGTAGTGGAGATGTATCAACCAGTTCTGCTTCTCCAAAATAGGAAACTCCAGAGCTGGACAACATATTTTGACAAAACAAAGAATGCAGTCATTGTTAGGTTTTCTCTTGTATCACTGTTGCTCATGTCTAAACTAACCACAAACATTTTGCAAAATCAAATTATATTCTTCATACCACTGACCATACAAATACAGTGCTTCAAAAATGCATATACTATTAAGTGATACATGCCCATTAATACACATTAAATATATGCTTCTGCCCGGACCGGTGTGTCTTGGAGGGCTGGGTGTTGCTCCGCAGACTGAAAGATGGCCAATTAGATTCCCAGCCAGGGCACATACCTGGGTTGTGGGCCAGGTCCCCGGTTGGGGGCATGCGAGAGGCAATCTATCAATGTTTCTCTCCCCTTCTTTCTCGCTCCCTTCCCCTCTCTCAAAAAAATAAATAAATATTTAAATATATGCTTCCTTCTCTTTTTGTAGCTTATACTGTCAGTTTTTCAAGTGAAACTTGGCTTGAAAAAAAAAATCATTTTTAGTTTCTTTTCTTCTCTCACTCTCCCTATATATAGAAAGTAAATATGAAGACTTTCTAAAAAACATTTCAGGAATGTTACTAACAAAATATATATACTCTCATATATAACACAGTTAATGTCACATCTGATCGGAGGACCAAAAATATTTCATAGTTAAACACAGTCTTAGCAATAGCTCAAATGTGAATACTATTGCACAGGAATGGAACTAAACTCTATTTGAGTCATTGAAAATAATTCATGATGGAGAAACAATAAAATGAGTTGCTGTGTCCAGTTGGTTAGAGCATCATCCCAATATGCCAGGGCTGCAGGTTCAATCCACAGTGAGGGCACATACAGGAATCAACCAAAGAGTGCGTAAGTAATTGGAACAACAGGCTGATGTTTCTCTCTCACTCCAATCAATCAATAAAATGTTTTTTAAAAAGTGAGTTACTTGCCTTTTGAATTCAAAAGTTTAAAATATAGGTAAAATTCATTTAAAAATTACTTTTCTATGGTAACAAGAATAAGGATTAATACCAACCTTAGGACAGTGGTAACCTCAAGGAAGGGAGAGAAAGGAATGGGATTAGGAAAAGATAGAAAGGAGATATCAACCCTTTAATTCTTTATTTCTCAAAAAAGTCAGAGGCTCAAAAGCATACATGGCTAAATGTTTTCGTTTATTAAATCTGGCCACTGAGTAGTACATAAATACTTATTTTTTTAATACACTTTAATACATGTTTGAGGTTTTCCTTGATTTTTAAAAATGTAAAAGAAATGATTTGTAATCATTCTCATCCTGAACATTAGAAGATATATCAACAGAAAACCTAAGAATTGTATGTCCAATCTTACAACAAAAAATGAGTAATTTTTAACCCCAAGGCCAGAACACCCAGTAGACAGCTACTTACCATGTCGAAGGCTGTTAATTTCCACCCGGGAAAGCCCAGAGCCTGTGCACCCAGTGGACAGCTACAGACCACATTGGAGCAACACCACTCAGCCCCTGCACAGCAGATCCTCCACAGAGGCTGGTGGTTGGTAGTCAGTGGTCACAGCCAGTCCTCGCAGCTGACTGGACTGGGTAAATCCCTTCTATTGATCTGCCAATAGCAACCAAGGCTCAACTACAACAGAAGGGTGTACTCAGCCCACACAAAAGGGTGCACCTCAAGTACCCAGCATGGGTGATAGGAGCGGCTATGCCATTGGACCCAACAGGACACCTACTACATTAGGCCACACTACCAAAATGTGGAGTCAAAGCAGCTTTACCAAATATAGAAACAAACACAAGAAGGCAGCTAAAATGAGGATACAAAGAAACATGGCCCAAATGAAAGAACAGATCAGACTTCCAGAAAAAGAGTTAAAAAAAACTGGAGATAAGCAATCTATCAGATGCAGAGTTTAAAACACTAGTTATATGGATGCTCAAGGAACCTAGTGAGGACCTCAACAACAACAACAACAACAACAAAAGATCCAGTCAGAAACAAAGGTACACTAATTGAAATAAAGAACAGTTTATAGGGAAACAACAGTAGAGTGGATGAAGCTGAGAATCAAATCAATGATATGGAACGTAAGGAACCAATAAACAACTAATCAGAGCGACAAGAAGAAAACTGAATAAAAAAAAATGAAGACAGTATATGCAGCCTCTGGGACAACTTCAAGAGGTCTGACATTCACATCACAGAGGTGCCAGAAGGAGAAGAGAAAGAGCAAGAAATTGGAAATCTACTTGAAAAAAATAGTGAAAGAAAACTCCCCTAATTTGGTGAAGGAAACAGACATGCAAGTACAGGAAATACGGAAAGTCCCAAACAAGATGGATGCCAAGGGGCCCACAGCAAGACACATAGTAATTAAAATTCTATTGGTTAAATATAAAGAGAGAATCTTAAAAGCAGCAAGAGAAAAGAAATTAGTTACCTACAGGGGAGATCCCATAAGACTGTCAGCAGACTTCTCAAAAGAAACTTTGTAGGCCAGAAGGCACTGGCAAGAAATATTCAAAGTTATGAAAAGCAAGGACCTACAGCCAAGATTGCTCTTCCCAGCAAAGACATCATTTATAATCAAAGGGCAGATAAAGAGCTTCCCAAACAAGAAAAAGCTAAAGGAGTTCATCACTACCAAACCATTAGGATATGAACTGTTGAAGGGACTTATTTAAGAAAACGAAGATCAAAACTATGAACAATAAAATGATAAAAAATACAAATCTATCAACAATTGAATCTAAAAAAAACAAACTAAGTGAAGAAGAAAAACAGAGACAGAATCATAGATATGAAGAGCATTTTGATGGTGGCCAGATGGGACGGGCATGTGGGGGAATGGTTGAAGAGGTGAGGGGATTAAGAAGTACAAATAGGTAGTTAATGAATAGCCACGGGGATGTAAAGTACAGTATAGGAAATGGAGTAGCCAAAGAACTTATACACATGACCCATGGACATGCACAATGGTGGGGGGATTTCCTAAGTAGGGGGTGCTAGGTGGAGGGAAGCAAAGGGGGAAAAATCAGGATAACTGTGATAGCATAATCAATAAAATATAATTTTAAAAAATGAGCACTTTTACCTTGACCAGGTGGCTCAGTAGGTTGGAGTATCATCCCATACACCAAAAGGCTGCAGGTTCAATCCCTGGTCAGGGCATGTACAGGAGGCAATCAAACGATGTTCTCCCCCCCCCCACCCCCATGCCTCAAATCAACAAACATATCAACATATCCTTGGTTGAGGATGTTTTTAAGAAGTCATTTTTTTTATGTTTCCTGGGTGAAAAATAGAAGAAAAAATGTTGAATTTATAAGGTAGTTCAAGGGCTCAGAGACTCATGAAATGGAGCCCTTGGGATTAGAGAGAAAGCACCACCAAATCCAAGGGCTTAAAGGTCACTTCACACTCCTAGAAATAAAGTTTGTCTAAAAGCCACAAGAACTTTGGCTTTATCAAAGACTTTAGAAATCATTTCAGGCCCCATAACTGTCCTATTTCTAACTGCAATCTTCAAAATTTTATAGTTTCCTTATTATCAAATAAACTCATTCATTCATTCATTCATTCATTCATCAAATATTCACTGGACACCTACACTATGTGCCAGCACTGGTCTAGGGACTAGGGATACAAAAACATGCAAAACTGACACACCTGCTTTCAGGAACATAACTGGTTGGGGGGTAGTGAGTAGGTAAGTTGGACAGTGCCAGGAGGAAAACCGCACGATGATAAAGTGAGTTTTATATAGGTGATCCAAGATGGCAATAAGGTAGATGGATGTTACACACCTCCTCCCAGGACCAAAACAGAATTACAACTAAATTATGGAACAATCATCCTGACTAACCAACTGAACACTAGCTGAACAGAAGTCTTATAACCAAGGATATATGTAAGATGCCATGTGAGAACTAGTTAGAATAGTGGAGGTATAAAAGGGTGGCTCCCACACCCAAGTGTGGCAGTTGAAAATATAGACGGCTATCTCAGCTGCAAAGGTCCCCCATGGGGAATGAGGGGTCTCAACCCCATGGCAGGCTGCCCGACCCAAAGCTCCAAAGCTAGAAAGAGGAACGTGCATAACATTTGGCTGTGGAAGTCAGCGGGGATTCCATCTGCCAGAGAGAGGCAGGAGTCCCCTAGAAACCCAGGCACCTGCTTAAAGGGCCAACACATAAAATCACATTTGTTGGGAACCGTCCTGCCTGGTTTCAGGGACTGTAGCCTCACAGACAGGTGAGGGGGCCCCAAGGCTGGAGCTAAGCAAGGAGGTGTTGGGAAAATAGGCGGGTGAGGACACAAAACCTGTCCCCCTGGCGGGGGCGCAGCCCCTGCCTCCCTCACATCACCCTGCTTGGCCCCGGAGGATGGCTGGTTAGTCAATGACAGGTAAGATCCCTCGAAGGCAGGGGCAGCCCAAGACAGGCACAGTTGCATAGGGGCCATCAGGGAAGGACTTGGGGGACATGGAGAAAGGACAAAAGACCCTCACCCCTTGGCTTTGATATGGCCAGAGTCCTCATTCTATCTGAGAGAAGTCTCCTTATCTCTGGGCTGCTCTGCTCCACCCACCTGGCTCAGGCTTTAAACAATAACTAGAGGCAGTCCTAAACTGGATCTGGCAGTTTCCAGGGAAAATCAGGCCTAGAAGTAAATTCCTTGAAGCATGCTTTGTTTTTCCCTCAAAGCTGTGATGGCCAGCGCATGCTGGGAAAGAAATTTACATTATTCACAGACCTTGACCCTAAACCATTTGGCACTTATGTTTACTCATCTCGGACCCATGTAAATCGGTGTGTTCCTGCCATTTGTTTTCTTCAAAACATCACCTATCCTCTGTAAACAGTAACATACTGATGTAATGAGATTACCTGTATATTCCTGCTACCTATCCTCCAGTAATAACCCTTTCAATAAAAGCCATTGTACACGGGGGTTCGGCGCATTCTCCACTAGAGGGAATCACCACCCCCTTCCCCTGGCAGACCGAGGAGGCATCTG